ATCCTAGGGTTAAACACAAATGACATGGAACTTTTGTCTTAATTTAGAGCCTATTATAAGCTTGGGGGGTGGGGCAGAGGGGGGAGAAACAATCTAATGAACAGCAGTAGTAGGGAAATGGAATGTATCAGCCGCTCAGCCTGTTAGGGAAGTGTTAAGAGATAGGGGAAATAGAAAAAAAAACATTTAAAAAGAATTACCATTTTGTCCCCATCAAATATAGGCCAAACAATGCCTCCAAAAAAATATGGAGCTGCTATCATAAAGAGAAAAAGGTTCATGAAGAGGAAGTGCCCAAACAGTCTTCTCAATTTGTCACCTGGTTTTCAAAAGACTACACCAGTACCTTAGCTAACTCTACTGACTCATCTTCTACAAACAAGGTAGGAGAGAACAGCACTAAATCCTCTACTGGTGCTTCTATCAGCACAGAAAACAAGGAAACAAGAACTTCAAAATCCAGTCTTGATTTGGAAAAAGAACAGGAAGAAAAGTCCATTTGTAACTCTAGTCCTGAAACTGCTGATATACATACCACCATTTCGATGGCATTACACATGCACATATAGATTGCAGCAACCATGACTGTGGCCCCTGAAAAATATTATTCAGTTTAGGAGCAGATGAACAAGGTCCAAATCAAAAGCAAGATGCTGATTTCTCACTGTCAATGTCAGATGATGGAAGGAAATTCACTCATGACTGATTTATAAAAACTCTTGGTAATGGAGAGGGAATTGAAAGAAAATTGGTAATCTATCCAGCTTGGAGAATAACAGTTTTCTGTTTCCTTGTATGTTTTTTCCATACAAAATCACAGTTTACACCAAATATTGCTAATCCTTACAAAGGATTTTATTATTGGAAACATTTGAACCCACACATTCCTGAGCTCAAAGTCTCTCCAGAGCACTGTGAGTGTTATCTCAAGTGGAAAGTACAGGAACATGACCTTAAAAACAAAACCTCCACTGACGATAACCTGCAAAGAACTATATGATGGTGGAAAGAGAAAAATGACACTCAATCCTAAAAATAGTTGTTGATACTGTGCTATTTGCACCACAAATAAATCTTGCTCTTAAAAGGCATAATGCAATTATTGGAAAACCAGTTACAAGGTTTTTTCATGAGAACTCATTAACCACTATCAACCAGTTCTTGCTCAATGTCATAAACCAAATCCACCATTTGGGTGCTGTTACTCACTTCCCCCCTGTGGTGCGAAATGGACTTATTGACATCTTAAGGTGTCCAGTTCAGAAAGAAGTTTTATCTAAGAAAAACAAGGCAAACTATTGTTCAGTTTTATCTGACTGGACAGATGTAGCCTAAAAAGAGTAAATGACTCAAATTACCATATACATGAGAGGCAGCAGCAATGGGTTCAATATTGAAGAAAGCTTTGTTGACTTCATTCAAATGAATGAGAGAACTAGAAATAGATTAGCCAAAATGATAAAAAATAAACTTCATTATGATGGTTTGAGCATAAACAATATCCATGGTCAGGACTACAATGACGGAGCAAATAGGACCAAAAAATACAGTTGTGTACAAGCAAGAATTTTGAAGTTAAATACTTTTGTTAGGTTTGTCCCATGTGTTGATTAAAATTATTTGTTCACTTTAACTGGTATATGCAGCTAATATCAGTGCAGAAGTAATCACATTTTTTGGTTCAGTTCAGTGCGTTCTTGGTTTTTGTTGGTGGTGGTGGTGTTTTGTTTTTTTGCTGAATTCTCCTAAACAGTGAGAAATACTGACAGGGAGCCTTCAAAAAACACTGAAAAACCACTTTGACACATACTGGTGTACAAAAGTGCATGCTATTGGCATATTATGTGGTCAGCTGCAAAAAGTAATAGAGGCTTTGCAGAAAGTAATTGAAGGCACAATTACCATAGTGGATTTGTTCTTCAAATTGATTATACATTTATTTACCTACTAATCATATGGAACAAATTTCTGAAGTCTATTGACCACATTAATGAAAAAAAATACCAGCAAAAATATGTCAGTGGATAAAGCTTCAAGGTTAATAAAAGGTTTGCATGACACAGTGCAAACTATTCATAATTCTGTATTACAATCTGCAATGGAGGAGATCAGAAATCTTGCAGGGACTATAGATACTAAACCATTCTTTCCCAAAAAAGAAAAAGGTGTGAAAGCTTTTGAACTAGGGAGAATGCATGAATGAACCTTGCCTTCCTACTCTTGAAAACTCATTCCTGGTTCTTGTGAATAATGTACTTGATTCTCTCATGTCTGACTTGTTCACAAAATGGCAATTATGTGACAGTTTGAAACTGCATCTAATACTGAATTTTTTCTTGGAAAATCCCTGTCAGAAATGCACTGAAAACACACGCTATTTGGCAATGAAGGACCCTGAGAATTTAAATGCATTATATTTGTCATTGGAAATTGAAAGCGTCAAGTTTCAGATTTCAGCTGCTCATCCTACACTTCAGGATGCTTCCCCACTTGAGATCCTGAATCCTTCATACAAATTTGCCTTAACTGAATCACTTCTTAACAGCACAATTGCCTTAAGACTCTTTTTGACCCTGCCAATAGCAGTGCTTCATGTCAGTGGAGCTTCAGCAATTCTACAGTGTGGCACGAGTATCTTTCTAATTTGGCAATCTTGTTCCTTGAACATGATCATGTAACTTTACCAATTATGACAAGATGATCAATGATTTTTGCCTCCACCAAAGCTTGAAGAGTTAAAATACAATTTTTCCTTTTGTTCTCATTGAGCCTCCTGTCTTTTCCATTTAATATAACATCACATTTAGACAATACCTAGGTCATTTAACTTTGAGGAATGAATTACTCCATCATCCCTTGTAACTTAATCTGTAAAAATCCACTTAAAATACTGCTTTTTCCAGGAAGACTTATAAGTAACATGATGCAGATTTCCCTGTGGTTGCTGTATATTGGTTTGGACGTTCTACTGCAAGACCTCTTTTTTAATTTAAAGCACATTTCCTATCTTTCAATGTTACGTACAAAATGTGATCAAGCACATGTTGAGGCATTAGTGAATTTTCTTTTTCCATTATTGAAATGAGGGGTGCTTGACGTTTCTTCCCAGAGCACTGAAATTGTTAGTTACACCTCTGCATGCACAGAAAGGTTCACCAGAACAATTAATGCTGAAACTCTGTCCTTAACCTTGCTCACAGAGATGGCTGCCAGCCCCTCTTATAACAACATAATCTCTTAGTTAAAACCATATTTAACTCTTTACCCTATTAACCACATGACAGAACTAGGTAAGAAATGGTTTTCCTGCCCTTTGGAAAAGTTGCCACAATTTTAAAAATATTTCTGTTCTTCATTTGGATGCAACTGAGGCATTTTGAAACTTCCACTCACCAGAAGAAAAAATATGAAACCAAGAAAGAGGTTTATTAGACACAGAAGTCCTCTCTTCTAAGGACAGCATGTCTGTCCTTTGTGGGTTCAGCTGAGCTTTGCTTGGGAAGGGGTTTGGGGGAGAAAGAGGTGGGGAGTGGACAAAGTTTACTTTTTACTACCTTCTTGCCCTATTCCTGACACTGTTTCAAATCTAAAGAAAATAGTGTTCAAGCTACCTATGGTGAATTTTCATCCTCTTTCCTTGGTTGCCTATAGCAAGATCAAAATTTTTCCTACCAAACCAAAATGCCTCTGCAAGGAGTAAACAGACACATGCTCAGACAGAAATGTTCCAGACCTTTTTTCACATACATAGAACATAAAGAATGACAAGGTGGAGTGAAATTCCAAACCATAACAGACTTATTTCTTCCAGGGTTTGTTGAAGAAACAATCTCCAATCAAGTAACATTGGTATAACAGAGTGAAATTCTGATGATTGGGAACTCAAAGTATTTACTTCTAGGAATCCTATTTAAGTTGTTAACCCTAATTTTAAATCTCGTTCATATTTGGATGACATATTTGGAAAATTCACCATATTTTCCCAGTGTACTAGGAGCAGGATTTAACTCAAAGTTTGTATGGTAGTACAGCATACACATCAATGCTTTATGTATCATCTACTTGACAATAAGTGGCTATCAGTGCATGAGTATTACTTTGAGGGTATTCATTTTCATATCCATACACTTTTAGATTTTAAACTAATTTTTTTTGAACAGGAAGGTATACTCTTGCATCAATTTCCAGTTTCTGCATTAAGTGTTATAAACAGTTGCATCTGTATCTTTATCTGGTAGTTCCAGAATATTTAAAAAATGGTACATTCTCCCCTATATTCCTAGGGAAGATTGGGCTGTAACACATCAGGCCTGTATTGGCCAAATTCCCAATGGGTATAAGTTGCAAAGCTTCATTGACTTCAGAGAAGCAATCTCAAATTTACACTACTGAGGTTTTGATGTTTAGACACCATCAGTTCATCAAAGCACTTAACTATATACTTAACTCTCCTCTTCCCTTGACTCAAAGTTAAACCATGCTATTGTGCTTCAGTGAATAGGAATGCATTTTTAAGACATGGCCTTAACATTCAGTTTCTCCATTTGCAACAGAAAAAGCAGTAACTGTTCAGAAAACATGAAAAATAGATTTATCATCTTGTTGGTCTTATTAAATACAGAAAAATATTTAATTGTTAAGCAGATTGGGAAGGATAAAGAAAGTAATCAGAGCAGTTTAGACAGGATGTACGATATATTAGACAGCTGGAAAAGCTCAGATTATGTAATGAATAAAACTGTTACAGTAATAAGCCATGCATGTATGTAATCGTAGTATTAGATTTGCAATGTAGTAACAGTAATTATAAGTACATTCTGAGGTGACAATTTTCATAATCAGGCCCTAGAAATCTAGTATATTAGGAGGCAAGAAACAGGAATAAAATAAAACATTAAACAAAGGTATTGCACAAAGATAAAGGGTTATGCTGACATAAATTGAACTCCAATAACATGAAGCAGACTACAACAATTTATACCAGCCAAAGAGATGGCCCGAAGAGAATATTTCAGAGATTTCTTTTGAAGGACTTGGAATTGTCTTTCATTGACTTTTTAATGAACATACTGCTATAGTGTATTAAGCTTCATTTACTAAAGAGTTATGAAACAGAAGGGCACTGCTATCAGATAAAAAACAATGCTCTCAAAGACAGCTTGAAGAAATGTGTCTCTTAAATGTGTGACTTGTGTATGCTAGGAGCTACAGGAAAATTGGGGGCGGAAAAGGTTTCCATGGCTTCCTAGATTCATGAGGCTATGTGGAATTCCAGACAACTTTATTGAATCAGGCTTGTAATGAACAATGGTACCCAAGAGTACAACACTTGTTGCAGAGAAATTGGTTGTGTTACATTGACTTCTCTATGCCATTTCTAAGAAGAATACACTAACTTCATACTTCACAGCAACATTAATAGAAGCAGATGATATATTGAAAGGGTAACATGGTTTACATGTAGACTGATATTCAGCAATAAATACATCAGCAGGACATCACTAAATCCGTACATACATTACAATCAGACAGGCAAATTTTGGCTGGTTTCATGTTTTGTTACAAACTTAAATGCAGGCTCAAGTCCATCCAAAAATTCACAGTTCTTTCTGAGTCTGGTTTTGGGAGAATGGACAAACGTATCCTTTTGCAGTGGAACCAGGTGAAACTTTCTCAGTTCATTGAAGTCTGAAATTAGAGGAATAATGAGCTAAATACAATAGATTGCTTAGGTAACTATGTTAGGTACAGCAACTGCCAACATCTATGCACTTGGACCTAGATAATCCAAAGGACTTGGATACCTGAAGTGGGATTCGAGTAAAATTTAGTCAACCTAAGTACAAAATGGCACTACTGAAAACTCTGCCCTAACCCCTTAGCAGAAGCATAGGGATGGTGTGAAGGGGGAGAAAGGACAATTGCCTGAGGCCATCATTTGTTAGGAGCTAAATGTCCCCCTTAGGGCAGAGTCCCTTGCCCTAAGCCCACCTCCTTACCTGGAAGGAGAGAATCCTGGGTGGTTGTTTCTCCTCCCAGAAATGCCTGCTTAATTTTACATTAAAAAGCCACCAGGTTAAATACAAATAGCTTCATTTGGAGGGACGAAGGGTACCCCCTCTCCTTACTTTCTCAACGTTTTGGACTCCAGGCACCCCTCCACAACTTTTTAGAATGAAGTGGCACTCAATTTCAAAAACTAATTTATATATTTCAGTGCTTACCTCCTTGCAAAGAAGCTGGGCAGTAAGGGTAGCAGATTGGTCAGGCAGAGACAAGCCTGAGCCCACACTTATCTCCTCACACCTTGGGGTGCCCTTCAAAGGGTCTGGCAGCACCCTGAATGAGAGTCACTGCTCTAAGTTATACCTTGGTAGTTAGGGCCCTTTCGTGGGATGCAGGAGATGTAGATTTGAGCCCCAAACTGAGATGGGAATTTAGCCCAAATCTCCTACTTCCTGGGCAAGTCCTCTAACCACCAAGTAATTATATAATGAAGTGAGCAACATTTCATTCTCCTGTGTTCTAAAAAGTGTCTGCCACTGCATTTTGTTAGTCTCCTGGACCTGTAAGAGTTTGTATGTATTTGGGGGCAGTAGGACCTTCCTGTCTCTTCCCTTTGTCTATTTAGATGATTAGTTCTTTGTCATACGAAAAAGAAAATTAGTTCTTTGAAACAGGAACTGTCTTCTGGCATATATAAATGCAGTGCCCAACTGTAATGAGGTCCTGATGTTGGCTGGGACACTGTATAGTGTAAGACATATATGCAATAAGAGAACAACTTTTCAAACCTGCTTTTCCTCATATTCATCCATCTACCAAAGTTCTTAGCTGCTGTACTTCACTATAGTTTCCAGGCACCTCCTATAGTTGTATTTTTACTAGGAAAAGAATTTAAAAAACACACCAAAACTACTTCCAATGTGCATATCTAGGTAGCTGGCTTTCCTATATCCTGCTTACCTTTATGTACCTGCTATTGTAAATGTCAGCTCACTAGACCCAAACAGAAAAGAGCCATGGGAAATTTTAAGACTGTCATGTAAGGAAACATATTACAACCTAACTACAGATAAAACTGGTTAAAAGCATAGACATAGAAATGTTGTTAATGCCAACTGGATTTTTCTCTTCAAATGACTGAAATGGCCATAAACATTATGAGTGTCAACTTCCATATACACGAACTATTTCACATCAAATGTCAGCAACCCTCAAGATCTATACAAAGATCCAGCTCTTCACAAAGAAAAGATACGCTTGATATTATTGAACCATGCTGTTCACTGAATAGGATTTCTCCCCCAATAAGAATGGTGAAAATGCTAGAATTAGGAAATGACAGACCTGCCAATGAAACACCAGTGTTATACCTGATATTGAAAAGGTGAGATTTACTTCAGAAGCATTCAATATCCTCATTGTTCCATCCACCAGATATATGTTTAAAGAAAAATGCTCTTCTTTAAATATTATGTATGCAGTTATATATTTGATTAACAAATCTATTCTTTTGGTCAAACAAATCTAAGGACTCGTCTTTTTAATTGATGAAATTATAAAATAGCCCTTGTGTCCCTGAGTCAGTCTCTCTCTAAGGGCAAGGCTCACCAGGCTCACTGTCCTTGTCCTTATTAAGAAACCTCACTGGGCTAAAGGAATATTTTTCCCTCTTCCGCAAAGGGAGAACGGCTAGCCTGCCATGCCCGCCACGACTTATATGGAATTACCAATAGGAGGAAATGGCTAACGACAGTCACTGTTCTCCTCTGAGGTACGATCAACACCTCTCTGGCTAGGGTGGATCCAGAATAGCAATTCTAATATGTAGTATGGCCTTAGGGGTCAAGTTTGGGAGCTTCTCCACCCCTACGGTCCTGCCTCATACCTCTGAATGTTTTAATAGTCTCAATCACAGCTGTGCCCAACATCCTTGCTGTAAGCACCACCCTTTACTCCAGGTATGCCTAACAGACCATTCACTATTAGTACACAAAAAGGTGAGCAGACAGGCTGCTCCTCACCCATCTGCTGCTGGACGTGCTTTCTCCTCAGCTTGCCACCAAATCAGGTTTCTGGGAAGCTTTTAAAGTCGCCATCTTTTCCCGGGAGCCAATCAACAGCCAAGGTTGCTACACAGATGGGGATGCTCCCTTCAGCTAAAAGGGAGAAGGGGTCCACATCAACCTTGGTTTGCCTCCCCTGAGAGGCCCTGGAGAGATCACTACTCCAACCCTGCCTGAACTTCCAGTTTGAGCTGGCAGTCTCTCCTGATGCCGGCTCCCAGCTCTGCCATTCCTCCCCGCACTGCGGGGAATGAGCGGAGATGCTGTCCCTGGCCCTGCAGTTCACATGCGGGGACCAGGTTTCCAGTAAGTCTCAGGGCCCCAGGCAGTGAAGGCAAGGCAGCAAGCGGGGGTTTCCCTGCCCCTCTCTCCGGCTTTGCCATACCTTCACTAGGTTTACATTCTCAGTTATCTAAATTAAACATTTTCACAATATCACTATAAAATTGCTATTTAAATATATCAGACCAAGTTTTGCTCCCAGATTACACTAAGGAAATCCTTTTGAAGCCACTGTGGTTGTTCCAGTGTACAAGAGAAAACAGAATCTACCTCATCCTATTTCTCATTATGACAGTTAGTGAGAGCTTAATGTAATGCCAGAAGGCTGTTCATCCCTTTGCTAATTATTGCCTCTGTGCCACATTTGTCTGGTACATTTGAAATGTTCCATGGCATTCAGTATTCTGGATGCCACATTAAGCATTCATCAGCTTGATTTCAAATTAGACTGAATGCATCAGAGCATTTATTTTTGCTACTGAATTGAGTTTACCTGGTGGGAGTCTTGCCTTCTTATGAATGAAAACAGGCTAATTCAGTTAGCTCATCTGAAGAAATGTAAAGTTATAATTATTTTTATAAAACAAATGAAATCTTTAACCACTGAGATAAATGATAAAATTTGAACAATGAACTGGGCTGACTACAAGAAGTCAAATAGTTTAGTAATTTTTTTAAGGAATTACAGAATTTAGGGTCAGGTCCACTAAAAAAACCCTACACACAGGGCTAATGTTATGTAGGGGAATAAAGTTAATCATATGCATTAGCATTTTCAAGACTGAGCCCTATTTGTGCAATTATAATAATTTCAACTATGGGCCTAATTCAATAGCCTATGAGATTAGTAAGCAGGCTCCCATTGACTCAAAGAGGTATTGGATCATTGACAGGAACCAAAATATACAAAAAAATCTAACCTCATGTTTCAAGACATAAACCAATTGCTTGTGAGGACTGAGAAAAAATTAATCATCCCCAAACAAGTAAATATGCCATTGTATGAGGTTTGTCTTCTTCTGAAATATCAAGTATTCTCCACTGAAAGAAAAGATGATACACAAGAGATCAATGATCCAATCAGTTAGGGCAAATTAACCCGATTGCTTGATTTTAGTATGGCAGCTTTTATAATCTGGTTAGTCATAATACTTTTGGAGGGTTTAATTAAAACTCAGGGAACTCAAAGGTAGAAACTATCTCCTTAATTCATCATGTTGCATCTACATTTTGAAAAGGCCAGTCACTAGTCTAACATCCCTTAGATAAATATACTATTAATTTACAAATTTTGTTACAAACTTTGCAATTTTCTTTAACTATTTTGTGAGTTTAAATCCTTCCCTTTGTCTCAAAGTTACTGCATTTTGAAAGTAGTAGGTTAGGGTGACATGGCCACACAGGTAGCTTCCAAATTTAACCCCAATATTATTTTTAAATGGTCTGATTTTTATTTATTTATTTAAACACACACAAGTGTGCACATGCACACACACACACACACACACACACACACACCCCCCTGCCAAATCTATTACCTGAATCTCAACAACATTCATGCCCCTCTAAGCTACCACAGTGGCATAGGGAGCCCTAAAACCCCCATATGTGACCAAAGGAAGACTAAGCTAAACATGGGTTAAAGAAGATTGCTTAATGCTGTGTTTTCAGGATGGAAGGAGTGAGCTGGAGACAGGATTATAGTACACAGTGCTGGGTAGATTGTGAGCAGCACCGTGATCCATAGGGCAGATTCAGAGAGGTTGCTGTAATTGGAGATGAGTCCCCCAGGGTTATCCAAGTTACACAGAGGACCTCTTCACCTCCTTGTAGCAGCCTAGGATTGGGAGAACACAAACCTACCACAGATACAAGTTCTGTACTGCATATATCCCAGAGGCACAACACAGGAATGAACATTCATACCCCTGTGAAGAAGCCTTAGAGCAAATAATAATCAGCCCCTGAGAGTTCTGAAACACTTTCAATCACACCTTTATACAATACCCAGATCTTCCATGGTCTGTGGAACTTGGAAAAACATCCTTCTCTTATAAATACATCCAGAGATACCTTTTAAAAGTTATTTTGATTCCCATGGATTCTTATGGATTGAAGAGAAATAGCTGAAATCCATTATGTTAAAAGTCCCTTTAAAATCAGCATTTAATTATTGGATATCTGATCTGCATGTTTCAGCTACAGTCACACAGATGTCTAGAGTATGTCTATACCTCTTTCAGGGCAACCCTGGGGGCTCTCCCCACCCACTCTTTCACCACTGCAACAAACACAGAAATGAGAACACACCATTCCTCATCACTTTCAGGATCTGTT